CTTGGGCTGGTGGGCTTCAATACGTCACAATTTATTTCATTGGTCACATATTAAATAAACTTATGGGTCACAGATCAAATTTATTGATCACAAATTATTTTTTAGTCACAAATTATCGAAATTTAAGATCATATTTTAATAGCTAGTCACAGTAAACCAAATAGTTGATCACATGCACTAAGCATCCCACCCTTGATCTCGATCTACCACGAATATTTGGTCACCGGTCAGTCAAACCCCCCACAACAACACCACTCTCAACAAAAATATCACAACCATCACTTCCATCACCACCACCAGTACCACCGCTACCATCACCAACATTTTTGCAACACCACCATCACCACACCGCATCGCATCAGCAACACAATCACACGTACCACCAATCACCACTGCCACCATTGCCAAAACAACACCACCCACTAAACATCACCATAGCCACCACTACAAAACTACAACCACACAAAATACCACCACCACCACCACACAAAAACACCACCCAAATCTCTAGTGCACTGTCAGCGTAGCCCAAACCACCACCACTGCGCCAACACTAACACCAACATCGACAGAAACCCCACAACCTCACGACAACTAGTGACTAGAATCTCCATCTCAAACAAATCGCCACTGATTCACCACCACCAACAAACCACCATTTTCAACTACAAAACCACCACTTCCACCACCAAAATTCAATAAACCCACCCTAACCGCCGATCCACCACCACACAAAACACTGTCCTAACCTCACTACAACCACTGTCGGCGAAGGAAGCAACACAACACTACTTCTGCTTCGCGCGCCATGATGAATAGCCTGTGAAGAGTCGTCGCCTCTGCTCCGTGATGAATAGCCAGAGCAATTGCCGTGAAGAGTCACCGATATTAGTCGGTGCTGACTGCAACGTTGCGACGCTGTCGTTAACAACAACAGCCTTTGATGCCGCAACGTAGCCGACTGACGCAACTCCTTCGTCGGTCGTCGACGTTCGAAGAGAGATAAAAGAAGAGAGAGATGGGAGAGATGTAGAGAGAAGAAGATGTGAAAACCGAGTAAAGAAGAGAGAGAAGGGATAGAAAAGAATAGTGAAAGAAGGAAGAGTAAAAAATAATTAGGGTTTGGGTGGATGAAATTAATTTAATTTTAAAATATTAAAAAGTTTAAATTGATACC